CATTCAGTGCACAGCACAAAGTAAACAAAATTGCTGTGTGTAGGACTTCATACCTACTGAGGAAATGGAAACGTAGCAGAAACATGAAGCAGGGAAGTGCAGAACAAGAAAGGATGAGCTTAGAGTAACCCAATGCTGCTTTAACAAACTGCCCCTGCTCTCAAGCTCTGCTGTGGTACTAAGTCATGGAAAAAGCATTTTCACCAGTGTGTTCCCAGAAATACCATCTGCTCCTTTTTCAACTCTATAACTAGCCTGAGACAACAGACTGAATCCAATGGCAATAGTTTTGTTATTAGTATATGGGGCAAGATGAAACTCCAAGCGCTCTGCAAAATCAAGCCCTTGCTTTCTCAGAATGGCCGCCTGCCCTTAGCTGACCCCTCAGAGTGCCCCGCTGCTTGTCCGTGTGCCTCAGTGCCACACGTGCGCACTAGGAATGACAATGCCTCTTCAGCTGGCAGGTGCTATGCAGCCGTTCGCGTTTGCAGCTGAGATACTGGAATGATGCTGCAGAAAAGCCTACAAGGAAATGAGTAGCACTGGAGCACTTGCTACTGAGTAAAGAGCTAGTCATCCCGTGCACTGCATGCATTGGGAAGTCTGTGGGAAACATAATGCATGATGATGTCGTTAGAAGATGACGACATAATGTTACTCACAAAGGGAAACGAATTCATGTTGCATGGGTGACTCTAAATACAGCATTTCTTTTCCCCAAGTACCTGACTCTGCATCCTTAACACACTTGCACGTATTCTTTCTCCTTCTTCACTGAAGATACACAAACAGCTGTAAAATATCGACCAGATAGCTACCACAAATAGTTACATAGTAGGAGCAACATAGCTCCCACATGATTTGAGTTCATATTCTTTCCATGCATGAAACTGTATTTAGAAAAGCAAACTTCCCTGCACATTAAAGGAAGCCAGTGCATGCGTGTCTATTTTGGATGTGCAAAAGAAAATTTTGCATACACAATGGGTATATATACAAATGGCTTTTGATTATAATGTAAGTATTGCCTTTAGAAAATTGTGTCCCATTAAATAATTCATGTTATCCTGCTAGCAGAAGAAATCTGAAAATGTCTAGTGAGGAACTAAATTACTGAAAGGGAGGATTCAGAAAATATTGTCCTCTGCATTGCAATCGTAACACTTCATTATTGTTTTATACAGGAAACAAACAAATTGAATAATTTGTAGTTCAGATAAGCCTTGGTTAATATAGTCATACAGGATGTAAGGGGAAACGGGAGCGTGCATTCCCTTGCCTAGATACCTCTCCTGACGCAGAGTGGGAGGGCTCTGCCATGCTAACTCTCACTTCGCAAAGGGCAGATGCAGATTTGGTGCCATTAACACCAATAAAGCGGCTGCCAGAGCAAACCACAGCCTGAGGAGGATGCACACCTGGGGAACAGCTCTAAGAAATCACTCCAACCCAGCCAGTGCAAAAAAGTAGAGACAAATTTTGAAAACCAGCCGGGCAAGATACAACTATATTTCAAGGCTCAGGTCAGGTAGTCCCGCCTAATTGACATTAGGGGCTGGCTTTTTTATAATGTCAGAAATTTTGAGAGAACAAATCATTTTATAGAAGGCAGCAAGAAACATTTGAGCTCCAAATTGTGAATAGTGCTGCTGGTATAAAGCTACTGTTTTCAGAGTGCATTCAAATCCATTACGCATTGAAGATTTAAATAAAATAGCTGAGCAACTAGAAAATTACATATATAAAAAATAATGTAATGTGTGGGGACTAAATTATCGTAGCTTGGTGGAAACTTCTTCTGAGTGCTATCTCCATCTTCAAACTCTGTACAGGATTCCTGTTTGTTTTCAGACTCCTATTGACTGAGACTAGGATATAGGTCTTGGCCTTATTATTTGATAGTTCATAATATCCACCACTTGATGACTTGATGAGAAATTACATTTAAAAAAACTTGATATTAATTTAAAACCTACAAGGTTTTGCTCATTATTTCTGAGACGGCCTATTCAACTCCTAGTCAGCAGCTACAGCAAAGTATGCTGACCCCATTGATGAGGTAATCAATTATGCTGGAACAAAACAAACTAGTAACTAGAAAGAAAGGAAGCCTATGGTTTTATACTGAGACAGAGAAAGCAGAGAGAAAGAGCATTTGGGAGATGACACAGGACAAAACATTTCATCTCCATGTTCCAAGAAGATACATTTTAAATTTGTATTAAACATGATTTACAAAATCAATGTTCTTCTGTGCTGGACAGCTTTACTCAGAGTGAATGAAGACAAACCAGGGCACACATCCAAAGCTGTGGCTCTACAGGCATGTGGCACTCTGAAACGGAGGTTTACATGCCAGCAACTGCAATTATCCCAACTAGCAATGATTTAGCATTCTGTGTTGTCTAGAGCGTAAAAAACACAGGCTATACCTTTATATCACAACCATCTGAAATCCAGGTTTAATTTCTGCCTTAAAAGAGACTGCAGCACAGCTTGCTGCTGTGTGCACATTGGAGAATAAAAATGATTAATTCTGCCCATCAGTGAAGTTTTCACTTATGAGTATCACAAGCCTTTGCTGTGTGCAGCAGGAAAAAAAATGGAAATAATTTTTATGCTTAGTTTCAAATCTTTATTCAAAACCATGTAACACTGCTAATTACTAAACACTGGGAAGACTGAATAAAAAAATCATAAAATGCTGACTTAAAAAAACCCACAAAACAAAACACCTTAAATCTAAGTGCATTTACCACATTTTTTTAGTGCATGATTTTACAGTCCTGAGTTCAGGAAAGATTTTAATGTTAAAATTAACAGAAGAAAGTAATTAGGATAGAAGTAAATAAAAATGGAAATATATCAGGTAATACGAGTTCCCATGATGAGCTGAACACCTGAAAAAAAGAGCAGAATGATCAATTCCTCACCACAAGAACGACAGATGCAAAGACTGGCTTGGGAAGAAAAAGATTTCCTTTTGGAATCACCACAGCGGGAGCCAGAGGAAGCTTTGCACCCAGAGACCTAATGTTGTCTGTTAAGCTAACAAAACTAGTCTGGAAGAAGTAAAAAAGTAAGACTTCATCTTTTCATCCCCTTCCACTTCACTGCTCATCTCCCTAGTGCTTATCTTGATCTCATTTTTTTTTTTTTCCTGAGGACTTTTTTTCTCCCTTCCCCCCTTCCTTCCTTCCTTTTTTTTTTTTGATGTTGATGGGGGGAGCAGCACGGGTGCCTGATGCGTCCTAACAGGGATCCTGCCTTTCTCATTTGCATTGTCACATTCAACGATTACAGAATATACCACAAAGGACCCAGAAGGGATCATAGACAGAGACAGAGCTGCAAATTCAGCATGGCCCCCCGAGCTTTGCAGAGGATAGCTACTGAGTACTGTGGCTGGTGTGGGCCAGCCCAAGTGCTTGCTGGTGTGTTCAGTCATGCTAAGGGGATCAAAGACTTCAAAAGTGGGGCAACGCCTTGTGCCACAGGACAATTTGGAAAGAAAACATGGAAACAGCCTACCCTAAACCAGCCACTTGCTGCCCAGTTTGCTACAAGGGTGCAATGCCAAACTTGGTTTGACTGAGGAAGAATCCCCAGTGGGGATTTCTGGAGAACGTGCTCTAGGATGCCTCACCACGAGACAATGACAGCGTGGCTATGGGGACGTTGCCAAAGCACAATGGTGGCTCTGTACCAAACTACAGACTAAACTAACTATGAGAATACAATAGGCACAACATAAGACATGTTATTCTTGAATTTATACATGGAAATATTCTAATACAATGTATTATTCCTCTGAGGTTTTATGCCATATTCTTCCTTCAGTTATACTACAGCAGACTCACCCTGCTCAACTCAGACTATAATTTGAACAGTAACTTTTAGGCTAACACCACATAAACAAGAATGGCTTATCATATTGGGAGAGTAAGTACAACTACAGGCTGTCTATAAGCTGTAGAGATACAGTGAGAGAGATCTCACTACATATCTCAGTCCTGCACACAGTCCTCCCTGGGTTCAAAACACTCTGGGGGTAGGACTCCATCCATAGGGAAAGTATTACAAGGTTCATAGACCTGAATGAAGTGCAGCTAAAATATAGATGGTCAGGTACAGCTCTACATTAGAAAATGCAGTTATTTTCAGTGTAATGTTCTTGTTATCTTTAAAAAGCATTTTGAATAATTACTCATAGAATTAAAAAGAATAAAATCAGATATTCTTGGCCAAGTTAGCATGGTGTATCATTAGGCAATTTGCCTCATTTTATCTACTAATGGCATGTCTAAAAATAAGAAAAATCTGAATTTTAACCTTGAAATATGAACTCTACAAACCCATATTTCAGTGTATGCATTGTAAGCCCACACCAGGGAATACTTTCAAAAATAAAAATAAACTTCCAAACTTTGAATGCACTTCAAGGGTCAAAAAGCAATGGGAACAAACGCATTATTTAATCATAAAAACCACTCTCAATTCAGTGCAAGGCTGAGGAGGAAGCTCAGACTCCCAGAGGCAAGTGAGGACTGCTTTGAGGGACTGCTGCAAAAAGGGGCTGGCGCTGAGCCTTCCCTCAGCCCTGCCTCTGCCTGTGAGAGGTGGCGAGGTCAAAGAGCTGGAGAAGACAGGCAGCTCTTAATAAAATGAGCTGCCATTTTCCCATGAACAGTGAGAGACGAAAAATGGTGGGGAACTTCTTGCTTACAAAAAATAAAGCCGTTATTCAAAACTGAGAAGAAAGACTGTTAAAAACAGGGGCTACTCACTTCAACTCCATGATAAAATTCTTATGCTTTTTAATGGTGCACTGTTAGCAGCTACATCTTTATTACAGTCTCTGTGTTTCTCTTCCACTCTCATTAAGGGTTAGGTCCATTTCTTACCTGACCGACACAAGCTCTGCTCTCATTACCTTGACTCAAAGCTAACAGTACCTTTTAAAAAATGCTCACAATAATCATCAGTTATGGTACACTTACCCTGAGGTAGTTGAGGGTGAAGTTTGTCAGACCCATTCGAGTGATGTTTTTGGACAGCTGCTCCAGCACCTGAGGGTCTTGTGCCTAAACAACAGAGGAAAAAAAGAATTTTCACTTTCCTTTTTGTCTATTTGTTTTTCTCTATGTGCTTGGTGGAGTGCAGGGAGAGTTCTCTGAAAAGAAATGCCACTCCTATGAAAAAATTACACATTGATGCTGAATTTACGTAATAAGCTACAGAGTTCTGTTTGCATAGAAGAATGTAAAACATTATGAAATTGGACCAGAATGAAGACTGTTTTCCAGTATCTTCCTTCTGTCCCTGCCCATTCAAAAGACAGACCTAGGAGGTCCAGCCACACACAGAGCTGCAAATGAGCAGGGCCCCACCAAAGAGCTTCCTGAGGGATCACAGTACAATTTGAGCCTTCCATTTGTTGGCTGGGAGCCCCAGGAGACTAAGCAGACAAAGGTAGGAATAAAGAAGGTATCACTTTCTTTTTGTGGATAAGAAATTGAAGCAGAGAGAACTCATCAAGGCACCTTCAGCAGAGCTGATCATGTAAACAGCATCAAGCACAGGCTGGAGAACCCTTCTAGTCTAAGTTATTTTCCCAGAATTAAACAGGAAAATGCAAGTACAGTCCTTCACTGACCCTAGCCAGGAGCTTTACCTGTGAGACCAGCCTCCTCTTTAAAATGAGATCAATCTCATTACTAAAATTAATACCTGCTGGTTGCTGGCTAACCTGCTTCCACTCTCTTTGAATTGCAGCAGCCCCCTAAACACATAATGTTGCTCACGGCCATTCTTGTTGTCCCTTAATGGGATACTGTTGAAGAGTTCAGAAGAACAGCCCTCTGAAATAGAAGAGAACCCTGGGACAGAAATGGTAGGGCAGGTTTTCGAAGGTATTTTCTTCAGGCCTCTGATAGCATTTTCAAAAGAGTCCAGGCTTCTTAATTCATTTAAAATTCTTCACTAAGAATGTATCTTTACCTATGGATATCTAGGTAACTTGATGTCAAAATACAGGCACATGTTTGGGCCAGTGTTCTTACTCTCTATAAAAACACAGTCCTGCATTTAATTTTGTATATGAAGCACTACTAGTTAGAACGCTTCTACAGTGCCAAACTGGAAGTGGCAATAAGATTCTGTCCTTTGTTTCTCCGCAATGATTTACCTTATAATATTTTGTCTTCAACTTGTAGAATACTTAATATTTTAATGTTCTATTGTGTGTGTTTTCATTCAATTACAAAAGTCTTGAAATGCAAAAAAAAAAAAAAAACTAGATTAAAATTCTAAAGGTTTCTAAGAAAATATATGGTACTTACTTATTTTCTGTCTCATGCAAAGGTAACATTAGTTTGCTTCATTTCAAGACTAATATAATTTGTATGTACAATGATGAAAATTCACTGACTTTAGTGTAGTTCATATCAATAAGGACAGATTTTGGGCCCAAATCATACAGACCACCAAATGGGATTAAAAGGAAAACTATGTGCTAAAACAAAATTAAAACATAGCAACAGTGGCAACAATAGAGCACTGAGAAACAAGGGAGTGATGACAGAACTTGTAAATGGAGGTAGTTGCAGGCAAACCAAAATATTTAGAGTTAATTGCCTTGGGTGTGAAATTTGCTGGAGTTCCTCATAAACCTAATCTCATGTCTTTGCATTAGGTCAAATGAAAAAAGGATTACTTACATGCATGGCTAGAATGCTGCGTGGGACTAATTCTCTGTACTGTCTAATAGTAAAGTGCCATGTTTTTATTCTCATAAGATCATCAAAAGTAAACTCCAAGATAAGACGTCCTTCTGTGCATACCTAGAATACACAAAATGCATGAAATAAATTCCCAGGAATTTTGTTTTCAATGGCATTGTATCATCGATTAAACAACATTCAAAAATATCAGAGCAGTATTCTATTGTTCATCTCTGCTAGATTAATTGGTTTTCGTTCTCTTGGGGACAAAAAATGAATGTGGGAAAATGACTTCATAGGCCTTACCATGGAGACAGTAACTTATAATACTATAGATTTTATAGCATTTTACAAACATAGAATATTGTGTGCACTAAATCTTATTTATTGCATCATCTTTCCCTCACAGATTGCTACTGCTAATTAATGACTGAACCTCACAGTGGAGGTGGCTGTGGTGCAACTGCATGCACTTGACATCAAGTTGCTGAATCAGTCATTTGAACCTGGTTTATGTTGCCCTTTCCTTACAATAGCTTGGCATAGAAACCTTCCTTTCATGTCCAGTTGGAGTACGCAGTGCCCTGAATGCCTGTGGCCAAACCAGATTTTTTTCCTTCTTGTCTTTTCCAAGTGTCCCTGTCTTTTCCAGGCATTTTATCACATTTTTATTTTTCTTTCATTTCTTATTACTTTTATTAATCCCTCTCTCCAAGGAAAGGCAGACAGGGTGTCGGCCATCGGGCTGTATGAGCTGTGCTGCCATGGCAGGTTTGAGAGCCAGGGGAGCAGAGGAGAGGTTGCAGTCATGAACAACGGAGCTGCTTCCACAGAAAGTGGCTCACATGGCTTTGTGAGGGGTCTTGTCTAAGAAAGGAGAGAAAATATGGGAGGAATAAATGTAGCAAGTGGGTACTACCTTGAAACGAAAAATAAAATAAATTACTGGGGATTTTTAAACAATTCTCCACAATTTTATGTGGGAAAACTGCTGTGGCTGTAGTCTTCTTTAAGGTGCAAAATATCTGCCCAGCATGGTATCTTGACTAGGGGTACCGTGGAATACTGTAAATGACACCTGATCTGATAATTAACTACCTCTGTCATTGATTTATTTTTTTTTTAAATTGGATGTTTAGACTTACAATTCCTGTTCAAAGTAAACTTGCAAGTGCAGGGCACAGAGATATTGTGAAATAGGGTGTAATGGTTTTCAAAAGAAAATGTTTCTGCAACTTTAATTTTAATACAAATAACAGTTGACTGAACAACTAGCCACCCTAAATTCAGCTGAGTCTGTTGAGCCTTTTTACAAGCCCAAACTCAGACTTAGCTAGCTCCCACTTGGGCAATGTGTGGCTTTTCTGGTTAACCATTTACTTAATGTCATCATAGTTTTTTCTCCTGGTTGTTTCTGCAAAAACATGTAGGTAATTTTAACAGGCATACTATATAGACAAATTACTGTAGACCTATGAAGGAGAATCTTGCAACAGGTTTTCGTCTGCCCTTTTCAACACACCTCAGTGATGCCTTTTTAATGTAACTTATTTTGTCATTTCACTCTGATTTTGATTTTCACATCGTTTGCACTATGATGAGAAATTGCATAGGGGAACACATGCACACACATAAAGAGTCAAAGAAAAACATTTTATATTAATATTACTGCGTTGAGGCCAAGGATCCTGATTACTGACCAGTGAACATCAAAATATTTCAGGTTTAAAATATTTTTTTATAATAATACCTGTGGCTTCTCAAATGTTCCTCCTCTTAAGCTCAAAACCCCACAGCTCTTAACAGATTTATTTTATACATTGGCATTAACAAATTTTAATAGAAAAAGTGAAACACATTCTTCATATCACAGTGGTAAAAATTTATACATCTTATAAAGGAATTTAATTTCCTTATGTACAGCAGAATTTTACGCATTGCTTTTAATCAATAAAATTGGTGCAGTTCTTATTTTAAATGGCCCTCTTTTTTTCTTTTTTTTTTAAAAAAAAAATCTGCCTTTTACATAGAATCCAAAAAATCAAAAGGGTCTCCAATTAAGAAAACATTTTCTGTTGTGCTGAATTCATGTTACCGTACTGTGAGCTCTGACATTTTGTTTCTGTGGTAACCAAAATCAGCTGATTAGTTGGCATGGCAACAGAAAAGATGTAATCCCAGCAGACACACTCTAATCAATGCCCCCAGCACAGATGGTCTCCGGAGGATCAACAAGAAAGAGGCTGGCAGGCATTCAGTATGTCACGTGGTTGCTCTAGACTAGGCCAGGAAAAAACTAAAAAAGAACATTTCTCAAACTAACCAATAGCTTTTTAACCCCTTCACTGCACTTATTAATTGTAGGAATTTCAACTGCTCGCACCTATGAAAACCAACTTTGGTCCTGTGCCTTATTGCTCAGAGTCTCATTCTCCTAACATTGGGCATCTTTTAGAAGTCTTCCTCTTTTATTAACTACCCTGTCTCAAACCTGAGCTGTTGCTTGAAAAGATACCTAAAACTTATACAAATCTGAGAAATGCCTGAGATTGTTAGTAAGGATTAAAATCACTTAGTTTTAAGGGCTTCACCTACAAAATCCAGCTGATGGCCCCACTGTTGGGTGCAGGAAGGGAATGGTTCAAACACGGGGTGCTCACTGCTCTAGTGGCGAAGGCAAAGCTCGCCTCTGCCAGTCGTTTGGGAAATATAAACTTTGCTAACTGCGGAAACAGTTTGCCTACACATAAAGTTGGTGTGTCGGTAAACACGGTGAAAACAGAGACTTAGGAAGACTCCTAAAGCTTTCCTTTACCTGGAGAAAAAAAATAAAGCATCTGCCAGGTAAACAAAGATAGTAGTCAGAGCTTCAGTCTCTTCTTTTACCACATTTAATTCATGCCATTGAATTGTATTAAATTCTTTATGGTATTTATTTATACCTTGATAAATCAATTTTTAAGTGTGTGACAATTTATAAGGACCTCTTGCCCTCTAAAGACAAGCTGAACTATTCATATTCTTACTGTTAGGCATGTTCTAGCCATATTTGTTTGAAAAAACTTGGAAATGCCATTTTGTATATTCATCCAATACGGCACTATGCAGTGAGTTGCTCTAACTAGGAAAATGTTGAAATTAATAAAATGCAGCTGTGGATTCCTAATTCCATACATGAGGAGAACTGTTTCAGCCTGTTATATTAGAAGTTAGTGAATTTGAAGCTTAGAAGTTGTTTGTGAAACTGAAACAGCTATTAACAAATACAGTTAGTCTGTATTTTTTGCATTAAAAAACCCCTTCGTGGTAGTTTCACTTCGTCAAACTCAGACATGACCTAAGGAGCTACACAGTCCATTGGAGAGCTGCTTGTTATGGGAGGTCTGCTTTGTTCCACCACTGACGCCGTGAGAGGAGAAGTTTACCTTTGGGTGCAAGATCTGTACCCTCAGTATCTCTGCTAGAAGTTACACACACACAGCTGAGACAACATTCGGCTCTAACATTTCTGAAAGAGTCATATATTCTTTTCTCCCTTATTCCACCAACTACTGTGTTTTATTTCAAATTTGCTCTTACTGACACAGTCATATTTTAAACATACAACCATAAAAAAACCCCTATTTTTTCTCCTAGAATCCAGATCACATCCCCACCTGAACTTTTCTACCAGGATACAGAGATTTATATTGGAATTTGCAACAGAAATGTCAGGGCTGAAGCAGACCATGTACTGCCAGGGCTGTGGTAGACGGAGATTCCCGGCACACAACATGGTGGTGAAACGGGAGGCGACTGTGGCCCCCTAACATGAGGTGTGCACCCAGCCTAGGCCCTGTTGCTCGTCTGTCTTTGACTTGCTGGATACTAGCCTCCTTTCCAAAGTAACAACGCTGTAATGTGCTGCCATGATAAGTAAAATAAACTAATTGAATTGAGAAAAGCATGTTGAATTTACTGATTCCCAAAAAAAACCCTTTTATTTGCCATTGCACTAGAGCTAACACAAAGAGAAATGACACAGAAACCACTTTAGGGAGCTCTGCAGAGAATCAGCTGCTGTATGGTCTTGTCACATCCTCTGCATGTGGCCAGCATGCACATCTTCTCGTAAGCAGGTGGCAAAGAGGTGCTACCTAGGAATAGCTGGTCTCTTTGCATCTCTCTCTGTCTCTGTGTCTATGTACGTCACAGAGGGTTGGAGTGGGAGACCTGGATCGACAACACCATTAAACACACACCTCTCAGCTCATCAGTGCTCCACACACCAGCGGCTTCCTCTCCCTCTTCTTTGAGCCTCACTCCAAGAGCCATGAAGATGGCAGGGAAGACCCTAAGAAGGGATGGGACTCACATACGTGCTAGAGCAGGATAAGCCACGTGAGCCCTGGTCATGATGCTGTCCATAGCTGGTGCCTTTATTGACTCTGAAACCTCCACAGCCCCGTGAGCCAAGGGCAACATGGATGGGTGATGGGTTGTCTCTTCCTGCTGCCCCTTCTCCTTTTGTGCTTTTCTTCATACAAAGGTTAAAATTCATACAAATGAACAGGTACAAGATGGAAAATCATCATTTCCTGTTAATTTATGAAAGGGGACATTTCCATTTGGAAAATCAGTATACTCATCTTTTTAATATAAGAAACTTCTTGTTTTAATTTGTATTTTCTGCCTTTCTGGTACTGTTTTTTATAAGTACATGGCACTCAGTTTAATTACAAGACTAGAAGTGGCCAATACATGAAGATAATTCACTATCAATTACAAATATTGAATATTCACTAACTGCCTGATCCAGAGCATGTTTAAATCAATTGACTCCTTCCATTGACTTCACTGCCCTTTGGACTGGCATCCTACTGTATTAAATCACTGTTTTCCTAGAGATTTACCCCTTGGACTGGGTAAGTATCAAATGTAATGCATACCATCCCAAATGATAGGTACCAGCAGTGTCATTGTTGCTTTAAAATCAAGCCCTGAGAAAAGGAGATGAGCAGGTTGAATTTAATTCACGTACAACTGATGGATCTGGCAACCTGGCATTATGTGCTTCTCTTGCAGTCTTTCCAGGAGAATTGCAGAGGATGCCCACAGAATTTTCCAGTCACATAATGAACATAGAAAATAGTAATTAAATGGCTTCAAGGGTTTTCAGTATTAGAAATAATCTCAGTCTACCAGAAAAATGCAACAGCCAATATTTTTCACCCTTATACACACTGAAAAAGAAACACAAAAACCAACAACATGTTTTATTGAGTCTTCCCTGTTACCTTGGTAAACATGGGTTTTCCATGCTGGGTGACCATGGTGCATTGATCACAGTCCACTGTGATGGATGAGTTGTGGTATGACTCTTTTGAGTGCTTGAGAATGTAATACAGGTCTGTTACACCTCCTTCAAAGACAGTGCTAAAATAACGAGGAATGAGGGTCCTTCCAATTGCTGTGAGGAAAATACAAAGCAGAATTCAGCAAATGCTCTAGGTTATAAAATCTCAAACCATTTGCTAACAGAACATGAATAATTTTAAGTGCAATGAAATCAAACTTTCATTTAACGAATATAATACATGTTCTCTGTCTGCTGTAGAAAGTAAGTTGCGCCTGCTCCCATTGAAATCAATGAAAATGGCTTATTCCATTCAGAGGGAGTGGGCTCATCTTATTTAATCTTTTTACATTGATGGCGAGTTACGAGTCACTCTTGAAACCATCTGCAAGGTTTTTTGTCCCAAAGCAATTATTATACAGAAAGCCACATGGTGTTAATTATGACTGAAAGTTGGATATTACTCATAAATGTATAACCACAAGTGGAGAGCATTTACAGAAATATACTCGTACACCCAAAAAAGGCAAAGCACATTCATATAGGGAGGGTTGTGTACCCTTATATGTTTGTCTGTGTGTGGGCATATGTATATTCATATAT